AATAAAGCCTGTGGAAATCTTCATTCTTTGAACACTGCTTTCGTCTGTTGTTCCTGTTAATGCCTTAGCACCAACGATGCACCCAACTCAAACATCAAATCCAGAACTCACTTGCCAAATTCCCATATTAGGTAGCAAGCAATCTCAGAGACACCTCCTCCCAGCTCTAATCTCCTCCAGGTCATGTAATTCTAGACCAATCCACATTCTGATCCCTCGATTTGCAGCCAATCAGAATGCACCGTCAGAGAATAAAATGCCTCAGGAATGCCCTCCGTCTACTTCAACGCCACCTGAAGCACCTTGCCTCGCCCCGTGGGCCCGGCCCGCTGGCTGTGTGTTTCAATTGTTGTGCTGTTTTGCGAACGGACCAATCAGAGCACGCCATCCACATGACAAAACAGGGGAAAATCGCCAGGGTAAATCGTGGAATGGCACTGACCCCTATTTGAGTTATTTTGTTTGCCACCGACAATTTTTCTCCTCTAGCCTGACCCTCCTTGTCCTTCACTCAGTGTGTGCTTCCATGGGTGCGCAGACCTTCGAGCTCAAACCACCATCTCCAACGCCACACATTCCGAATATGACCGGCATTTTCGGTTTTTCTCTCAAATAAAAACAAAAGAAGTAAAAATTCGATGGAGTTGGTTTTGGGTGTGTCACGTGCCTGAACCGGCTCATCAACTGTTCCCTCACCATCACCAACCACCATGGAGAAGTTTTCCAATTGGAGAGACAAAGGCACGGGCATTTCGCCCTTCATGCCCGTGGACAACCCACAGCAACCAATCAAGAAGATTCTTGTTAACCCTGTGCTTGTGGCCGTCAAATTGCCCTTGTTGTACATTTTGTATGCCTTCACCTTGATAGCACCAAAACCTGTGCTTCTGGTGATACTCAAGCACATTTTCGGCGTTACAGATATTGACTTGCTGGTGGAAGGAGTGAGGAAACTGAAGACGGCTGAGATCGACAGGAAAAGACCTGGTCTCAACCACTTGGTGGTTGCAAATTACATCTCACCCATTGATGTGTTGCTCTTGTACGTGATCTCGGCCGCCAGTTCAATCAATTCTGTCGTTGTGGTGCTTCCTCAAGACGGAAAATTGCATGCATTGAGTTTCTGGCAATTTTCCAAGGTTCCCTTCTTGGAGCCAGATGCTCCTTTGCCTGGAAAAGAACTCACAGACTATGCTGCTCTCAAGAACAAGTTTGTCATTTTGTTTCCAGAGGGCACGCCTTCCAACAATAAGGCCGTGCTTCCTTTCCACAAAAGCATTGACCCCAAGTTGCTCCAGCTTCCTGGCTTCTCGTATCTGACCATCGTCCTCAGAGTGTACCCCAACCTCATCACATTGCCAGTTCCCAACGTGACACTGTTTCAATATTTGTGCAAGTTGTTGACTGTGGGCAAGGTCTTTGTAAAAGCCAAAATCGTGCCACATGTGGATCTGAAACCTTTCTCCATCAAGGCTGCCAGGGAGGTGTTCCCAGACAACGGCTTGTCATTGGTCGGTGACGAGATGAACGTCAAGGAGAAAACAAAGTTCTTTGCATACTATAAGGGCTATGCTTTGTCCCAGGTCACCAAGGGTTAGTCTGTCACAATGTAATATTGGGTAATTTGCAGCCACACAAATAGTCATAGAGTAAATCAGCAATCAACTGGTTGTAGTCTCTTTTTCGTCGTTCTTTTCGTCCTTCCTTCTGTGTTTCCTCTCCTCGTCTCTGTGTCCCTCCTTGTCCCTGTGTCTCCGCTTCCGGTGTTTCTTCTCAGACTTGGGGGCCTCTACCTTGACCAAATTGGCCATTGGGTCATTGAAATCATCGTCATCAGCAACAAATGCTTCTGAGACTGCCATTTCCGCGACTCCTGAAGAGCCCACCTCGATGGTCTTGGATTCTTCCACATGCTCCACTCTCTTGGTCTGCTTCTCTTCCCTTTTCGGGCTTTTTGGAGCCTCAATTTGAGCGGGTCTTGCTTCCAGATAATCAACAGCAAAATCGTCCTCCTCCTGACCATCCCGTAGCTGGTAGTATGTGTGGTCAACCTTTAGTGGGCGCTCGTATATTAGCACACCATTGAAGTTATCCACCGCTAGAACACATGACCGCTGGTCCTCGTATTTCAAATAGGCAAAGCCTCTAGATTTCCCGCTGTCTCTGTCCTTTATCAAGTTAACATGAGTAGGGTTTCCCCATTGGGAGAATATCTTCACGAGATCGATTTCCTGAATCTTCTCGTGGAGGTTGCCCACATATATATATGAGGTGTCGGCGTAATCCTGGTGCCATGAAGCAGCATCAGAAACATTGGACTCTAGTTCCTTTTCATTGATGGCGTTTATGCGGTGTATCGAGTTCATGCAGAAATGAGGCCTGATTGTACTTGGGGAAGGTGTAGCGCGATGAGATGATTTTTTCAGTATCACCAAGAAAGCAGAACACGATGGCCAGGCTGAAGGGTGCCGAAAAGGCTGGAGCTGCTGGAAAAAAGAGAAAATCTGAAGAGGAGCCCGAGAATGAGCCCGAGCTCGACGTTGAGGGAGTTTTGACCATGGAGGGTTCCGATGAGGAGGACGATGATAGTGAAGCTGAGCTCAACCAACTTCTTGCTGAGCAGGAACCTGAGGCTGAGGATGAAGACGAAGATGATTCCAGCGATGAAGATGAAGATGACGATGAGGAGGAGGAGTCTGACGACGAGCTGGATGCTGCCTCTGCTTCTTCTGCTGTGACAGACAAACTCAGTGGAGTGCAACTTCAGACATTGGAAGACGAGGACAACGGTGAGATTTTGGGAAAATACTCCGATGGCCGTACCCGTATCATCAAGCCTGAGATCGAGCCTGTTTACGAATCGGACGACTCGGACGCTGAAAACTTCAACACCATCGGCAACATCCCCATCGCAGCATACGAAGAGATGCCTCATATCGGTTACGACATCAACGGTAAGCGTATCATGAGACCCGCTAGAGGCTCTGCATTGGACCAGCTCTTGGAGCAGATTGAACTTCCCGAAGGCTGGACCGGTCTTTTGGACCAGAACACAGGTCAGTCTCTCAAGCTCACGGAGGATGAGTTGGAGTTGATCCGCAAGATCCAGAACCAGGAGCAGACCGACGAGTCCATCAACCCTTACGAGCCAACGATCGAATGGTTCACACTGAAAACGGAGGTTATGCCTCTTACTGCTGCCCCAGAGCCTAAATCTCGTTTCCAACCTTCTCAGCACGAAGCTAAGAGAATTATGAAGATTGTCCGTGCTATTCGTCTGGGCAAGATCTTGTCTCCAGAAGCTGCCAAGGCCAAGGCCGAGGAGAACCAGAACAACTTCGACTTGTGGGAGCACGAGGACCCTGAAAACAACCATTACATGAATATGAGGGCACCCAAATTGCCTCCACCAACGAACGACGAGTCTTATAACCCACCAGAGGAGTACCTCTTTGACGAGGAGGAGAAGAAGAAGTGGCTCGAGGCCAATCCTTCTGAAAGAGATACCAACTTCATGCCCCAGAAGTACTCTGCCTTGCGTAAGGTGCCAGGCTACTCCGAGTCCATCAGAGAGCGTTTCGAGAGATGTTTGGACTTGTACTTGGCTCCCCGTGTGCGTCATGCCAAATTGAACATCGACCCCGAGTCGTTGATTCCCGAGCTTCCTTCGCCAAAGGACTTGAGACCTTTCCCTATCCGTTGTTCCACAGTGTACAATGGCCACACCGGTAGAATCAGAACGCTTTCCATTGACCCTCAAGGTCTTTGGTTGGCCACTGGTTCCGATGACGGTTCCGTCAGAGTGTGGGAGGTGCTCACAGGCAGACTGGTTTACAAGTTCCAGGCCATCGACACCGAGGAGAACCCAGAAGACAAGATCGACGCTTTGGAGTGGCATCCTGAGCCTGGCATGGCCATTTTGGCTGTTGCTGCTGCAGAGAAAATCTTCCTCCTAGTGCCACCAGTTTTCGGTTTCGATTTCGAAAACAGCGCCAGAGTCAAGATCGAGGCCGGTTGGGGTTACGACACTTTCGGTAACAAGCGTAAGGACACAGAGATCAACGTCAATGACGATGACGAAACCTCCAAGAACGACCTGGAGCCCAAGAAGGAGGTTGCCAAGTGGTACACTCCAAACGCTACCCAGACCCAGGACGGTGTTGCTGCCATTGTCGAGTGCAAGAAACCAATCAAGAAGCTCTCGTGGCACAGAAAGGGTGACTACTTTGTCACTGTCGCTCCCGAAGCCAAGAACACCGCCGTGCTTATCCACCAGTTGTCCAAGCACCTTTCCCAATCGCCATTCCGCAAATCCAAGGGCACCATCATGGACGCCCGTTTCCATCCATTCAAGCCACAGCTTTTCGTGTCGTCGCAACGAACCATCCGTGTGTACGACTTGGCACAGCAGCAGCTTGTCAAGAAGTTGATGCCTGGTGCCCGTATGCTTTCCAGCATCGATATCCACCCCAGAGGTGACCATCTTCTAGCATCTTCCTACGACAAGCGTGTCTTGTGGCACGACTTGGACTTGTCTGCCACGCCGTACAAGACGCTTCGGTACCACGAGAAGGCCGTTCGTTCGATCAAGTTCCACAAGGGCAAGATGCCATTGTTTGCCTCGGCCTCTGACGACGGCACCATTCATGTTTTCCACAGCACTGTGTACGACGATTTCATGACCAATCCGTTGTTGGTGCCATTGAAGAAGTTGACGGGACACAAGATTGTGTCGAGCATTGGAGTGTTGGACTTGGTGTGGCACCCCAAGGAAGCATGGTTGTTCAGTGCCGGTGCTGACGGTACCGCCAGGCTCTGGACGACGTAGTTATGATTCGGTCATAGGCGCTTGCCTCATAGTAATAGAATGGGTATTGAGATTGATGTAGGAGCATGCCGTTAGTATTACTACAGGTGTACTTACCAAATGCAAGGGAGGTGTCTTCAAAGTGGCCATGACGGCCTTGATATCGTCAAAATAGCTTCAAAAATCTTCCCTCTTATAAAGTGTCAATAACCTCACAGCGGGATAGGGCCCCGTCGGTGTATTCGGCGATCCACACCTTCCGATCATCCTTGAAAATCAAGTCCAGAAGTAGAATCTGGATATTGTCCACCACCCCGGTGTTCTCCTTGTGCAACAACCAATCAAGCTTCTTCCAATCAAGCACGCCTTCATGGCAGAAACACCGAGGGGTCTTGTAATCGGCCACAAACAGCAGCGGCACTTCGGCAACAAATAAATGAACACCGCCTAGATCGGCTCCGTCGCGTGCCCAGCGCAACACGCCCTTATCTTTATACAGAGAAACCTTCAACCCGGTTTCCTCTTCAGTTTCCCGAATAATGCATTCCAAAGGAGATTCTTCAGGATCAAGCTTGCCTCCGACGCCGTTCCAGCGGCCCATCCATGGCAGCTTCTGCCTGTTCAAAAATAGCACCTGCTCCGTTTCCGGGCAGTAGATAAACCCTAAGGTGTACTTATAGCGAGTAGTAGTCATACGCGTATGCGCGACTGTTGATGTAGTAGCATATTAGGGTGACTGATTTTGCACCCAATTGAGACCCTTGACCATACGGTGCCATGGAAGTGGCCAATGTTGTGCTTCTTTTCCAGTTTGGGTAAACGAGCTTTTCCCGTGCTCCGTGTAGAATTGCTCAATGGCAGCCAAATCGCTGGGTTTTCCTAGCTTTCTATAGTCTTTGCGGAGGTACAAGAGAACACCAGCTGAACGGGCCAATGGAGACGGCGCTGGCATGTACCAGAGGGCCAAAGCACCCACCATAAGCCTAGCACATGTTCCTGGAGGAATACCGCCGAAACCTGCTCCAAAAGCTGGAAAAACGGCAGCTTCAATGTCTGGAAGTGAAGCAAGAAATGTAAGTGCCGCCCAGGTGCTGTAGAAAGCCTTTTCGTGTAGAATTGGGGCTGGAACTTCCATAGTAGGAACCTGGATTAGCGTCAGAACGCCCTTGTCGACAGCTATTGAGCCTGACGTGTGGGGGATCTCAGATAGTCTGACCAGGTGGGCTGAACCGGGAATAAGAAAGCCGTGGTTCTGCAGCAAGCTGTAGTTTTGAATGGCTGTTTCGACGTCACGTTCCTTTCTGTGGTCTTCGGCGATCAACGAAAGCACTGCCTTGTCGAATCCACCTCCCATGAACGAGAAGGAGTTTGCTGGTGTCACAATGGCCGTGTTCTCGGGATTCTTGGAGGTCACAAAGTCACGAAGTGGGCGGTTGACCACGGACATTTTGATCTGGTTCGGAAGGTACGGAGCCACCTCTGCTATGGCATCCTCGAGGCATTTCACTAGGATTGGTGTGGTGTTGACAAAGTAGAATTTCATGGAGCGGGTAGATGGAGCAACAGGGCGATTCAATGCTGTTTGCCTTGTATAGGTGAGGTTTTGCTCAATTGGCTGGCGATCAATTGGGTGTGGAGAAAGCGGTGGTCGGTTATGTAGTGGAGCTTAAATGGTGTGATGATAATGGCTGCGAAACTGAGTCAGTCAGATCCAGGTGAAACAAAGAAGTAAGGGTGTGCAATTGTTGGTGGAATGAACGTAAAAAAGAAGGGTGGTTTTTGCTGATTGTTGGTGAATGGTTGGCTTTGGGAATAACTTCGATATAGTGTGGATATGGAGATCTGTTGATATGGAGATCTAGGGTGCACCCTAGCGGTATAAGCATCAGTGTACATCCTAATGTAATCCACGAAATACACACAAGTTTGTAGAATAAGTGAAAAAGCAAGGATCATACAGAATCACCGACAACTCTGGAATTGACTCTATGTCACCTCAAGATGTCACCTTCCATGTCCAATCTATCAGCTGTCACTGGCTGCGAAACTGACCATGAGGATATCCCCCATCGAAGCACAAACCATCTTTCAAAAATAACCAATCAAATTTCCCAAATCAACACAATCCAACTCCCCATATCTCCCAATTCCAAAATACCACCACCATCAAAACTGCTTCTTCGCTGTCAAGCTTGGCAGACGTCAAACCCAAATCACTCGGAAAGTGGCCCCATTAGGCTACATTCGAATTCACGGTCAGATCCAGGAACAAAGAAGGAAGCCCGCGTTGTGGCTGAAACTGAGACAGAGTCAGGGCGGAACGCATGTGCTAACAGAGCCTGCAACAACGTCCTGATTGGTCAATCCAGCACCTCAAGGGAAATGCTGATTTCTCGAAATGTGACCAAAATCGCCCATTCTCGCCCGTATGGCTTGTGGAAGCAGGGCTTGAGAAATGTGGGTTTCAGCGGGGAGAACAATAGCACGTACGTGACCGAACGTAAACAGAGGTCATCAGCCGGGGTTAGCTTTCCCAACAGAAGAGATGATTGGATTTTGAAGAGAATTGGTGATATCGGGTTTTCAGGGCAGAATTGGCCTGGACGACTTTCTACCGAAAACACAATGGGCCTAAAAGCACTAAAATTAGCGTGTGCTTTAGCACCCGGATGGCTGCGAAAAGCCACAACGTTCGGGGTAGGAGCCCACCAAAAGGCAAAAAAATATAGAAAGACGGGTTTTTTGTAGATTCTCCGGATCCTTCTTTTACTGCTTGTGCAAGGCCAGATCTATCGTCACGCCGCCACAGCACGTGCGCCTAACGCCGAGACCATGGTGTCTGAGTGATTAAGTTAAAAACCAGGCGATTTTGAATGTTAAGTGTTTTGATTGGTTTCTGTGGTGGTACTCTTGGTTGATTTCATGGGTTACTGGGGAATTGTAGGGGTGTGGCTTGTAGTAGGCTGGTGTAGCGTGGAAACAGAGGGATCCGACCGAACCGCCAATTCAGCCAATTGACGACCAAAGCTCAAAGTATGCTTTCTTTGATTGAACACAAATGCCCCTCTTTATAAACTTCACGAAGTTCTGGCAAATCAGGCAGATTCACCGGGGCATCTGTCAAATCACTCCAAGCCAGATCCAGTCAAACCCGCCAGACACGTCCATCCACACACGATTTATCGATATTTCTGCATCCCTTTTGCATCCCTTTTATAGTTTCTTCCCCCTCCACACATCAATTCCTCCTCTAATATAGAAATTGTTGCCCTGGGGGTCTGGCCTATCAGATCGGCTCTACCACACCCGGCCATCCTACACCGACCCACGCCCCAATTGACCAAAATCCACCAAAATCCCCCTAATCCCACAAATCATCAAAATCCACCCATCAAATCAAAAAAAATCCCACCAAACAACCCCCCAGCTACTGCCCAACCAGAGCTCACGTTCGCACCAGAAATCGCGCTAGTATGGGGCCTCGTTTCCCCAACGGTGGGGCAGCCGCTCAACATATAAATTCGAGCCCATTCCTCATCCACGTTTTTCGCACCGCACCCACAACAAGCACCTTTTTCTGTTAACCATGGCCCCTGTTGCTTTCTCCGACATTCAGAAGTCTTCCAACGACTTGCTTTCCAAGGACTTCTTCCACTTGAGCTCCGCTGCCGTGGACGTCAAGTCCACCGCTCCCAACGGTGTCGCTTTCACCGTCAAGGGTAAGACCGCAAAGGACAATGCCATTGCTGCCTCTGTGGAGGCCAAGTACGCCGACAAGGCCACCGGCTTGACCTTGACCCAGGGCTGGAACAACGCCAACACCTTGAGCACCAAGTTTGAGTTGTCCGAGTTGTTGACTCCCGGTCTCAAGGGTGAGTTGGACACCTCCGTGGTGCCCAACGGCTCCAAGAACGCCAAGTTGAACTTCTTCTACCAGCAGTCCGCCGTCAACGCCCGCTTGTTCTTCGACTTGCTCAAGGGCCCTGTTGCCACCGCCGACTTGACCGTGGCCCACGACGGCTTCACCGCCGGTGCCGAGTTGGGTTACGACATTGCCTCCGCCAAGCTCAACAAGTACTCCGTCGGTGTCGGCTACGCCAACCCATTGTACACCGTTGCCGTGACCTCCACCTCCAACTTGTCTGTCTTCACCGCCGCCTACTACCACAAGGTTTCTCCTTTGGTTGAGGCCGGTGCCAAGGCCACCTGGGACTCCGTCAAGTCCTCCAACGTCAACGTTGAGTTCGCCACCAAGTACAAGTTGGACTCCACCGCTTTCGTCAAGGCTAAGGTCGCCGACTCCGGTTTGACCGCCTTGGCCTACTCCCAGGAGTTGAGACCCGGCGTGAGATTGGGCTTGGGTGCCTCCTTCGACGCCTTGAAGTTGGCCGAGCCTGTCCACAAGTTGGGTGTCTCCTTGTCCTTCACCGCTTAAGTCCGTAGTATGTTTGAATAAACCTCTCTTTACTAACCCGTAGCTCAATGGCTGCCAATGGGTCGATTCCACCGAAACTACCGGGGCCTCCAAAATCACACCCGTACACCACCCATCTCAAAGCCTAAAGCTCACTAAAGATGCTCCAGTTTACCAACCAGCATGGTCTACAAAAGAAAGGAGCCTGGTGCTCCAAATCCCAAGAACGGTGCTGATGTGCCTACTGTGCTACAGGTCTCCAGACCTTTTTTCACTTTGGCCGAGCTTTCATACCTTCATTCAAACACCATCCCAGAAAACAAGAAGCTAGCTTACAACCAGCGAAAACACCAGATCTTCCAGCTTCTTTTCCAGGTGGTCAAGATCATGAAGTTTCCGCTTCGTGTTCTCGCCACCGCCATGAACTACTACCTGCGGTTTTATCTCTTCAATCCGTTTGAAGAGCCTCTGGACCAGAACCCAGAAAACGAGTCCCTTACTGAACTCGAAAAAGACCCTTACTTGGTCGCCTACACCGCTCTTTTCTTGGCCACCAAACACGAAGATTGTATCAAAAAACTTAGAGACATGCAGCTGGTGGCTAACAAGCTTCGAGAGGTGGACCAGGACGTCAAAGTGGTGAACAAGAGCACGGGCACCCTGTTGCCTCTTATCGAGATGCAGCGCAAAATCATCATGAGTTTGGAATTCAAGCTTCTTCAGGTCCTCAAGTTTGATTTCCTCAACGGTGCCGCCAATGTGCCATCTGTGGATTACTTGGTGACGCTGTTTTCCAAAGAGCTTGGTCTCGATTACAGTCTAACGCTTTTCGGCTGGCTCGTGGCTTTTGACATAATGTCCACGCCGCTTTGCTTGGTAATCCCACCTCACTGTATTGCTTTGGCTATCGTCATTGTGTCGCTTAATTTGGACCCTAAGGGTATAATCTCCAAGCACGGTGAGCCTGGATCCACAAAGACCAGCGAAATCCTTGAAAACATAGACTCCATGGCTCAATTCCGCTGTCCTGAAACCCTTGTCAACGAGGGCATTGTCTACATTCTAGACTACTATGTGCATCAGATGAAGTTCTCCATTTTGAACGAGTACATCCCCCCAACCGACCCCGACACTGGCAAGGAACAAATTTTCAAATTCATGGACTTGAAGCTGCGTTTCAATGACTTGAAGGTTCTTAGTGAGCAGAGCGTGCTGGCGCCACAATTGCTCAAACAGGACATGTACTTGCGCAAATGGGACTATCTGGTAGCCTCAAGAGGTGCTGCTCGTTTCATCATAAGTAACAAAAGAAGGCGGTTCGACAAGGAGCTTGCAGTGATACGTCCACAAAACAAGCAGCAAAAACAGCAGCAACAGAAGGACCAAAAGGAACAAAAGCAGGATAGAGAAGATGGCCGTGAGCAGCCTGAGGCTCGTAGAGAGGGTGAGTTCTGGGAGTCCAAGCTTAAGAACCAGGAGGTTTCCGATGAAAAGGAAAAGACCACAGAGGAGAACGGCGAGCAAGGAGAGATCAAGAAAGAGGAGATGAAAAACGAAGAGGTCCGTGAGGAAAATCAACGCAACGTCCAGGCGTAGCTGTGTATTCTATAGACAAGTCATTAACCAAGCTTGTAGCTTACTGAAGTGCCAACCAGGTGATTATTCGTACTGAACGTGGAGAAGTCCACCTGATCCGCCTCTCCTGTAATCATCTTCCCGTCACCATGGGTATCTGCCCATTCACTGGGTATCCTTCTGCTATCGTAGCTCGGATCTGTGTAAACCAACACATTAAACGTGTACTCATCGTCCTGCAAAAACGGCAAGTACGACACTGAAGCGGTGATCTGGCGGAAGATCGCCTGGATCTCCCTTTGGATCTGTGCCTTGGGTTTTTCATCGTTCTCCTCGCCTTCCTTCTGTATATCAATTGAAAAGACCCACCTTTCCACGGTTTCGGTAGTAGCTTTGTTTATTATCACGACAACAAGTTTCAGCAAGCGTCCGCCGTATATCCATTTGCGGAGCTGCTGCATGATGTTGCCAATGTAGTCTTTAACATCGTTATCACTGCTCATAAGCATGGGTAAGTCATATTTTCGGACAGTGACAAAATCTTCAGGGGGGTATATGCCACGTTGGAAAAGAATGCTGTGTACGGCGAATTCAAAGAAATCCACCACGACTTTGGAGGAGCCCTTGAGGGCTAGTTTTGATGGTGCAACTGTCATGTAAACAGGATGTGATAAATGACGGGGAAATGCAGTTGAAGTGGATGCGATGGGATCTTTGTGACTGTCTCTGTAATAATCGCTTTGATCTGGAGTATAAGATGGTGTTTTGGATTTTTGAAAAGCGTGTGTAGTTTCTGTTGAAGTAGGTGTTTCGCAATTTCAAGGTAGATATCATGGAAAAGTAAATACTCAGTGAGATGCGTGTAGGACAGGAAAGATACGATCAGGTTTCAAAAATCGGGGGTTCCATAATTTTTCTTGGGAATTGATTGATATAATTATTTGATTGAAATTTACTAATTGAGTATTGCTTTTCACATTTTTCTGGTTATGTTGGGTAAATATGGATACTTCGTTGTTTGGCTGCAATACACGTCTAGTGCTCACTATAATTCACAGGGTACACTCAATGACCTAGAAATATAGAGTGAAGCGAATTTTCAATTTTTCATCAATCAGCTATTCTAGAAAGAGTTATGCAAATTTGCAGCTTAATTGACCTCTAGGGCCCTGAATCATTGAAGCTTATCTACAAATGGTGCCACTGCCTTATGGAGAAATAAACCCATTGAAGGACCCAGCTTATACCTTGATTTCAGATCTTAATTCCATTAAATTTCAGATCTCAAAGTTTAGAGATCCAAGCGAGAGATCCAAGCGTTAGAATTCTTATAGCCTCAAATTCCAATTAACCCGGGGTACCAATGTCACCACAATATCCACAGAAAGAACCGACACACTACACTCCTCCAGCGATACATCGATACAGTCATCTATGGTAATTATACAGATGGAGCCGGCAGCTCTCGAACTTTCCATGTGGCCGGCTCTGCAAACGTCCTGCCGAAGTGGCCCACTTGCTATTGATATGATATTGATCTGAAGAGTGGGGCCTCAATTACATCCTTTTCATTAAGCTTCAAAGTCAGCCAAAGGAAGCTTCCATCCACCTAAACATCAACGGATCCAAGCACAACCCACTCATTAACATCACCCTCACAAAGAACTAACTTCAACACGCCGCCTTCCCAGGAAAGCCCATTGCCCAGCACATTCCACGAGTCAGAGTCACACCCGTCGATGCCCAAATAGTCCAGAACCCGCAGACGAATGGTGTGCCACAAGGCAGTATCGATCGGATGAAGGTCGCTATACACAAGCGAGAGATGAGGATTATATTCACCCACAGCCCAAGCGGCAGCCTCGCTGGCCAGCTCACGTTGAAGCTTGCCGGTATCGACATCCACTTCCTTGGCCTCTTTTGTCAGCTTCCTTCTTACGAGGTTCCCGCTGTGGTCCTTATGGTACAAGTGGGGGTTCTTTTGCTGGTGCTCTGCCTCTGTCTTGGCTGGTAGCAAGACGAAAAGCTCCTGAACGATACGTGCAAACAGGTAGAGCGTGGGCTCGGCCAAAACCTGGAAGTAGAGTTTCTGGAAGTACTTTCTTTGGCTGGTCACCTTACCCAAACGGATCCACGGAGTGTCCGATTTCGGAAGCAGCAGGAGTGCCGCAGCACACAGAGAGAGAATGCGATTGACATCGTCTTTGGGGTTTTTCATGTCCACCGCCAAGTTGGTGGATACGGTAATGTGAGGCTCGAACCGTGGGGGCAGTCCTGGAAACACAGTGTTAAGCAGGCCCATGACGGTTTGCAATTTGTCCTGGACACCCAGGTTCTTCTTGGGACATAGCCACAATGCAACGCCTAAACCTGCGGTCAGTATGTGTGGGGTGTGGATGTTCAGCTTGGACTTACCCATTGGTACTTGTTGATGAATATTCACTGTGCGCATTGATACCGACACGGAGGACTTTATCAGAACGATCACTGGGCACGAGTGGGGTGCAGTGAAAGAGTTTATTATTTGAAGGGAAAGCAATACTTGCACTGCCGTTCTTTGCTATCTGGCTCTACACGGAATTGAGTGGTGGGTTTATTGTCTGATGGCTTCATCACATGCCAATATCACCATTGAACGGCACTTGGGCATCACCGCCAATTGACCAGCAGACACCTCATAGGCGAGACGCACGCCTTCAGTACTTGGAAGGAGTGACGTTGATGTTGGTGAGAGCGGCGTCGTTGACGAACCACGACACTGGCACACTGAGGTCGTTCACGTACTTGCATGGCAACTGCGACTCGGGCTTGTTGAAAATCTCGTCAATCACTGGAGCCTTGCCCTCGCCCTCGGCAACAAACGCAATGTTGCTTGCCTGGGCCAAAACGGGGAAGGTGATGGTGATTCTTCTTGGTGGAGGCTTGGGCGAGTCTCTGATCAACGAAACAAGGCTGTTCTTCTCCTGGAGCAAAGCATGGCCTGGGAACAAGGAGCAGGTGTGGCCATCGGGGCCACAGCCCAAGAGAACCAAGTCAAGATGGGCGTCGCTGGCGAAAAGCTTCTCGTAAGCCTGTGCAATGGCCTCGTCCTTGCCGCTGTCGGCACCTTCAAGCTGGCCGTCAGAGCCAGTGATCAAGGAAGCGTCAATGGCGTGAACCTTGGGCTTGGGAGAGCCGGCTGGCAAGCTCAGGAGCACTTTTTCGTTGAAAAGACCGTAGTTGGACTCGGCGTGGTCCAATGGCACAATTCTCTCGTCACTGAAGAAAACCTCCCACTTGTCCCACTTGACCTTCTGGGAGAGCTCAGAGTCGTCAATCAAGGCAGCCTTCAACACCTTGCCGAGTGATCCACCGGACACCGCAACCTTGAAAACACCAGCCTTGCTGACAGCCTCGTCCTGGATCTTGATTATGTAAGCACCCACGGCCTTAGCAACGTCAGACGATTCCTTGTGTGAGTATAAAGAGACCATTGTGAATAAAAGCTAGGAAGCAATTGATGATAATGGTTCCTTGGTCTCGCCCACTGGGTATGGATGTTAAGCGTGTATGCACACCCAACGGTCTTAGTCCAAGTAGTGCGAATAATCAGCACTCTCCTTGATCTTCTTATTGAGGAACTTTTCAAGCTTTGTGGCGTTTTTGTAGTATGTGGTCGTTTCGGCGTTGTACGACCTGCAGTTGTTGAAAATTAGACGGCAGTCGTAGATGAACTGCTCAAACGACTCGTACTTATCGTTTTCAAGCTTCAGCTCCATGGTACTGAGATCCATGGGTTCCTTGATTACATCATAGTAATCACCCACTTCTTCCTTGTTGACGGGAACAGCGAATGGCCAGGCAGATGGATGGTTTGTGAGCTCCTGGAGAAGAGTCATCATGAAATTGTAGTGGGGCCCACGCTTGGGCTTCTGTGCTATCTTGTCCATTTCTTCCAGCCATCCACTTTCTAGAAGACCAGGGATGTCTTTCGCCAGAAGCTTGAAGTTTGGTCCGGCATTTTTGAAAACACGGAGACCGGTACGGACAATGTGGGACTTGGACCGCATTTTGATCTTTTTCTCGATCGCCGCTTTCTGAAGAAGGAGAATCTTCCCCAGATCTAGATAACGCAACCGGCTAGGTAGCATAGCACACTGCATAAGCGTACCGCCTTCGTAGTCCTTGATGTATCCCATCCACACCAGCTTGTCTAGGGTGATTTCTTTGGTGAAGCCCTGCTTCTTGAAGTACCCGATGGCGTAGTTATCGGCGTAGGTGAGGAAGTATTTGACGGGAGAGGTTGCTCTGACGTAGTCCTTGAGGTGGTTCATCAAGTGGGCACCGTAACCACGGACCTGCTCTGTGGAAGAAATGGCACAGAACACGATTTCGGCAAAACCCCGCTTGTCGAACGGTCTATAAGTGATTCCTCCAACCACAGTGAGCGGTTTACGCACCACCGCCATGGATAAATGGGATCTGTCGTACACCAAACGCAGAATGTACTCTCTAGGCATCTTGGGCAATTGTTTCTGGAAGATGTTTTTGAGCCCGGTAAGCACTATTAGGTTCTCTCGCGTGTTGTCGTTGTTTACCACACGGAACTCGATCTTACCGTCGCGTTCCTCGAGCACCGAAGGTCTCTCCTTGAAGGAGTACTCGACGCCATCAAAGTTGAAGGTGGTTATTCGCCTCTTTTCGTCTTCGTCTTCGTCCTCGTCGCCATTCTCTTGTTCATTGTCGTTTTCGTTGTCGTTCTCGTTTTCATTGTCGTTTTCGTTTTCATTCTCGTCGTCGTTGTCGTTCTCCTCATCATCTTCTTTGGCTTCGCCGTTTTCCTTTTCTGTGAAAGACTCGTCGTTGTCCTCGTCGTTGTCCTCCTCTTCTTCCTGTTCGTCTTCAGATTTGATCTTCACATCCTCAGGCTTCGGGCTGGGCGACACGTCCGGCGATTCCGCCTCTTCTTCCTTTTTGAGTCGTTCTGCATGAGCGCCCTTGCGGATTTTCCTGGGCGCTTCGCTCGACGACGCCCCACGTTTTCTGTCCACCATGAGGTTTGGTTGAGTTTGTAGTGTTGAACTTTTATCAACTGTGGGTGTGTGCAGGAGGTTGCAAATCGGCGAAAGCGGTGTCACCAGGGGGGCCATTTGAGACGCTTTAGAGGGATATACAATAAGTCAAACCATTATTTTAAACATGAACTTTGGTTTTGAAAGAAAACATTTGCTCTTTTCCGAGAAATCCGGTCTTCTGAAGAGCATCTACTGACTAAACCTGTGCACCCCATAGCTCCATAGCCAGAAGCTCAATTGAAAATCCAACCACATTTCCGTGATCCTATAGCAACAAATTTACTAAAATCACCACATTCCACCGCCTGGAACCCCTTTTCGGGAGTTTGGCGGAGGGCTGTTGAACCTGGGGTAAGCTGGTGTACGGGTGCCGTCCTGCCATTTTTTCGCCTCATCTCATCCCATTGCTCCATTTCTAATCATCCCTATTACGATTTCTGCTTCACCATGTCAGGATACGCCCCGCTTCAAACAACAGGCAACGGCCAGGTAGCCACAGTGCTCTGTTGCAACTGTGGTGTGCCCATGGACGGCCTGCTGGGGCTTGTAATGTGTTACGATTGTATCAAGCTTAATGTGGATATCACCGAGGGCATTCCTAGGGAGGCAAATATCTCTTTTTGCAGAAACTGTGAGCGGTTTTTGCAGCCTCCGGGCCAGTGGATCAGAGCCCAGTTGGAGTCCCGAGAGCTTTTGGCCATCTGTTTGCGGAGACTCAAAGGTTTGTCCAAGGTTCGGTTGATCGATGCCTCCTTCATTTGGACAGAACCCCACTCGAGAAGAATCAGAATCAAGTTGACCGTTCAGGGCGAGGCTTTGCAAAACACCATTGTGCAGCAGACGTTCGAGGTGGAGTACGTGGTCATTGCCATGCAGTGTCCCGACTGTGCCAAGTCGTTTACTGCTAATACCTGGAGAGCCACTGTCCAGATCAGACAGAAGGTTTCCCACAAGAGAACGTTTTTGTACTTGGAGCAGTTGATTTTGAAGCACAACGCCCACGTTGACACCATTTCCATCCAGGAGACCAAAGACGGATTGGACTTTTTCTACTCGCAGAGAAATCACGCAATGAAGATGGTGGACTTTTTGAGCGCCGTGGCTCCTATCAAATCAAAGAGATCCGAGGAGCTCATCAGTATAGACACGCAGTCGGGCCTGTCGAGTTACAAGTTCACTTTCTCCATTGACATTGCACCCATCTGTCGTGATGACTTGGTGGTTCTTCCCAAGAAACTTGCCCACCAGATGGGTAACATTTCCCGTCTTGTGATCTGCTCCAAGGTGACGAATACGCTCCAGTTCTTGGACCCCAACACGCTTCAAACGGCGGACCTTTTGCTGAATGTGTTCTGGAGAGCTCCTTTCCCATCTCTCTTGGATGTTCCTCAGCTTGTGGAGTTTATCGTCTTGGACGTGGAGCCCACCGGCGACGTCAAGGGTAAAAACGTTCTTGCCGATATCACCGTCAGCAGAGCGGCCGATTTGGGAGTCAACGACCACTCCTTCTATGTTCGTTCTCACCTTGGAGCCATCCTCCACCCTGGCGACCTGGCTCTCGGCTACTACCTCACCAACACCAACATCAACTCGGACTTGTGGGACTCGTTGGACACCGACAACACGCCCGAGGTGGTGCTCATCAAGAAGCACTACACGAGAAAGGCCAAGAAGTCCAAGAACAGACAGTGGAAGTTGAAGAGAATGGCCAGAGAGCACAACGACATTGTGGCCAACGACGACTCCAGACAGGCCAAGCAGGAGCAGGAGCGTGCCGAGAGAGACTACGAGTTGTTCTTGCAGGAGTTGGAGGAGGACCAGGAGTTGAGACAGACCATCAACTTGTACAAGGCGGGCGAGCAGCCAGCACACACAGAAGAGCACGAGGACGACATGGACGACGACGATCACGATGCGCCGGAGATTGCCATCGACGAGTTGTTGGACGAGATTGACGGCATGACTTTGGAGTAATTAGCATGGGTATACGGTCAGAGACCATTGGATAATCGGGCGGCATTCGTCATAATAGACTGGACCTGGTCGGCGGGAGTGTAGGCGGGAGTGTAGGCTGTAGGAGGTAGAAATTTGGTGGTGAAAGATCAATTGGTTGATGAGGTTAGTTGGGTATTTGGAGCGATGATATGAGGACAATATGGAGATGGAGGATATTGTGAAACTAATTAAAATCATGTCGAAGTCAGAATTCCGTGTTCCATATATTGGAAGGTTACATTTATCAGTATCAGTTGGGAGAACATTGAATTATTCTGTCACTGGAATATAGGTATTGATACATACTTGCAGCCACTACTCAACAACCATTTGCAGCCACAGTAAGCCAAAATAAATAAAAAACCGAGAAGAGCCATTTTCACTAATAAGAGCTCAAATTTGATCTTCTTGATGTCTTGCTTTCAAAAACAAACCTATAAAACTCTCAATGTGCTCTTGCCACTAAGGCCTTATCAGTCTGCACCATGAGGCACTTACAAGTACATCCAACTCAGACATCCACCAACTTAAACACCCACCAACTTGCCAAAATCCAATTACCCCGCAAAACCAAAAAACCTATAAATACAGCCAATTCCCCAATTTAAAACCCCCGCCCACTAACCACTTCCTTGTCCACCCCATCACCTACATCGTGGGTACCCCGGATAATCGCGCTTATCAACTACATCATGTCTTTGAAGTACACCCCCATCCAACTGTTTGTGGAGCTGTCCTTCTTCACCAAACTCTCCGACAGAAAGCTCAACGAATACAAACTCGATGCTGGACCTCGGGACATCCACGGGTTCATGACCCTGCCGCTTCATCTCAACAAGTTCAACGATACACCCATCATCAACTTGGACTACTCCAGTTTCGAGGAGTACGAGGAGAACCACACCACCTCGAAGGTGCCTGGCTCTCTCATCAACGTGAACACCATCGAGGAGTTCAAACTGTTTGATAAGCTCAGCAGCCTCAAGCTGTGGGGAGAGTCACTCAGAAAGGATATGGAGGCGGGTCTGTTCACACAGAAGTTCTACCTTTTGGCGTTTGCCGACCTCAAGAAGTACAAGTACTACTACTGGCTCGCGTACCCGTTGCTCCACTCGCCGTGGCTGTTGGTGGAACTGAGCAACAACAACGAGTACGAGCTTGAGATCGAGGAGTTTCTCAAGAAGAACCCGAAGGAGGCGTTCTTTTCGGTCGTGGACGAGGAAATCGTCGCTTTGGACACTGCCGCCTCGACCTTTGTGTACGTGGACGCGTGCCTCAATCGTGATAACTGGCCGCTGGTGCAGCTCAGAAACTGGCTCTACTTCCTTGCTCTCAAGGGGAGAAAATCGGTCAAGCTACTCGTGTACCGCAACAATGGTCTGTCCCAAACGCTCAAGTTGGCGTTGGACTCGGATTTCGACGTGCTGGAACCGCCAAAAGTGACTGGCTGGGAAAGAACGGTCCAGGGTAAACTAGGGCCGAAATTGGCAGACCTCGGATCGCTCATTAACCCACAGCAGCTTGCTGAGCAGGCGGTGGATTTGAATTTGCGTCTTATGAAATGGCGTGTGGCGCCACAGCTCGATTTGGATATCTTGAAGAGCCAAAAGGTGCTTCTTTTGGGTGCTGGCACCCTTGGAAGCTACGTAGCCCGTGCTCTTCTCGGCTGGGGCGTGAGAGAAATTACGTTTGTTGATAACGGCCGTGTTTCTTATTCTAATCCCGTGAGACAGCCGCTATTCGGGTTCAAGGACTGCTTCAGCGATATCAACAGACAGGGAGCACCCAAGGCTGAGAGGGCAAGTGCTGCCTTAAAAGAGATTTTCCCGTCTGTCAGGTCCAGAGGCTTCAACATGACAGTGCCAATGATAGGCCATCCTGTGGCCGAGGGCTCCGATCTAGAAGACAGCTACGAAACTCTAGCCGAGCTCTTTGATGAACACGATGTGGTGTTTCTCCTTATGGACTCACGAGAGTCACGCTGGCTTCCTACGGTGATGGGTCTAGCACACAACAAAATCGTGATAAACGCTGCACTCGGCTTCGACTCCTACCTTGTCATGAGACATGGTTCTCTTGAGACGGAGAACCGTTTGGGCTGCTACTACTGCAATGACGTTGTGGCGCCAAGCGATTCACTCTCGGACAGAACCTTGGACCAGATGTGCACGGTGACGCGTCCTGGAGGTGCTCTTATGGCCTCTTCCATTGCTGTTGAGCTTTTGGTATCGGTGTTACAGCATCCGGAAAAAGAGAGAGCCTCAGCTGAAGAAAGCACCAAGTTTGGCCACGTTCCCCACCAGATCCGTGGTTTTCTCAACAACTTCCAGCAATCGAAGCTCTGGGCGCCTGCTTACTCCTGCTGTAGCGCATGTTCTCCAGCAGTCATTCAAGGGTACAAGAAAGAGAAGTGGGAGTTTGTGAAGCGGTGTTTGAACAACAAGGGCTATTTGGAAGAAGTCAGTGGTCTTGCCAAGGTACAGGCAGACGCCGAAAAGGCGCTTGAGGAATTGGAGCTTGATGACGATTTTAGCAGTGACGACTTTTGATTTTCAGACATCCCATCAGTGAGCGTAGATATTTCGCAGCCATTGCATACTACTACTACTGAGTCGCGCTCGCGAAATCAAAACACTATCGCATCCACAACACAACGTTACAGATGAGTTCAGCTCCGGTACAGGGACTTTCTGTACAGCTGCTGGCTGCCAATTACTTAAGCAAAAATGTGGGTCTACCTTCATTTGTCCTGTCGCTCAAACCACGGTCTTTGCTGGATATCTCCGATACAAGAACACAAGAAGTGCTTGTGGTGAGAGATCTCTTGTACGTCTTGATTGGCTACGAAGGCAATTACGTTCGCTACAGTGAACGATACGACGCTACGAGAGTCCAGGATCGGATCCGTGGGCCCGAGTTCAAGACAGCGAAGCACTTGAACGTGGCTTTGAAGAGCATCACCAAGAAGCTCGCTACCTACGGCAAGTGGTATTCGGGACTCGACAACTTTGTACAGATCTATGACCATCCAAACTTGGGAAGAGTGAACCAGCGGCTTTGTTTTGAAATCAGGGGGTTCCTCAAAGAATACCAGAAGCTCATCTTGGAGTTTGAAAACCATGTCAAGCAGGCCCCGCTTTCGGTCACTGAGATGGACAATATCATAATGCAACGTTGCGCTAACACAATGGCCCATCTCTACGAGATTGCCAACACCATCCACATGAGGACCGAAGAACGCACGGAATCGCCCACTTTCAACTCCTTCCTCGAGTTTGTCAAACAAGATCTCGAGATGAACGGCTCAATTAGCTCATCAACAGATACAAACAAGTTCTCTGTATGTAAAGGTGGCGTCGTTTTGCAGCTTGTGACTGAAAGAATCAACTCCTACAAAGGAGACTCTGTGGCATTTCAGTTTCTAACACAACTCTTCGACGCCATATCCACAGATTATGTATCCTTGCTCAATGAATGGCTCATTGAAGGCCACATACAAGATCCCTTTGGCGAGTTTCTCATTAAAAAGAACGAGCTACCGGCAAACATCTTCTATTCAAACATGGAGAAGTACTGGAGTGAGCTTTATGTCGTTAAGCTCGACGGAGTCCCAGACCAACTCTCCAGCAAAGACATACAACAGAAGATCTTGGCAACTGGAAAATACTTGAATATCTTCCGCCAGTGCAGTGGAATAATAAGCTTCAAGGACCTTCCTGAGTTTGCCCAAGTCTCCTCCAACCCAATTGACAGTTTGTTTTCGCCAGACCTTCACTTGAAGATTATTCACAGCTACAAAATGGCGAATAAGCTTCTTTTGAGGCTTTTGTTAGAAGGCTACCAATTCCAGACCCTCATTGAGAACCTACACGAGACCTACCTTTTGAACAAGTCGTTTCAAATTGACAAGTTTATCACCGCTGCTTTTCACGATCTTTCGAGGGATAAACACGCGGTACCTACCGCCAGAGTCCAGCGGCTATATGACCAGGTCGTTCGTAAACCTTCTGACGAGCCATCATATGGCGAACCAACTATTTCGGACATTATTCCTCACTGCGAGGGGTTCAGCGTGGACACTAACAATTTCTACGAGCTTGCAGAGGAAATCATCGCCATTGAGTCCTTTGACGCCGATAAAGAGATGAAAGACACAGACTCTGTACTGAACGCCATCAAAAGAATCGTGAGTCAATCTTTGTCCAGACGACAGGCGTCTCTGTCTGAGTCCGAGAGGACTCGCTCGCTGCATGATGTTGACGCTATTGATCAGTACACTGTAGCAAGCGTGAACATTGACTTGAGTCTTCCATTTCCCATCAATCTCATAGTTGGTGACAACTTTGTGTTTGAATACCAGCTTCTTTTCAAGCTCCAGATGCTCTTGAAATACGCAAACATGGCCACGGACAGGACCTGGAAAGAAATTAACTTCTCCACTGTGTGGAGATACAGAGGATTCCATCCATCCGTGAAGACCAGTGTGGTGAAGTGCAGAGCACTTAATGCGAACGTGAAGGGATTCATGAATCTTCTTCAAAGCTATTTCAATTATCTGATCGTTGAGGATAATTTCCTGACGTTACTTTCGATCCTCGAAAAGTTTTCTGTCAGTGCATCACAGCAAGTTGTTCCCCAACAAAGCTCTAGAAGCGAGAAGAACTTCATCAAATCTTTCTTCAATGGCAACGATGTGTTTGATGCAAAGATAAATGCCATGAGCAACAAGCAAGGCTCCTCTACGCATTCAGAGGAGAGCTTTGATGACGTACAAGATTTGAAAAACCACGTCGGCACGTACCTCAACAACATGTTGCGGGATGCCATGGTGACTGACGGAAAGCTTCTACTGAGTCTACACAACGTGTTAAATGTTGTTATCCACATCAACAACTACATGAGCAGGCTCAAGAAGTCGTTGGTGTTGATGGACGAGAGACAGTTTGCTGCGTTCAGACGAGACATGCCCGAGCGATTTGCAGACCTGGAGGTGAACCCCGAGCTCATTGGTCTGAGAGCAGCTTCGTTCAAGCAGATTGTGGATGCTTACACAGAGACATTTAACCAGGCGGTGAGTGACATGTTGTTCCTTCTCCGCAGCACCAGTGTCAGCGAGAATCACCATTTGCTGGGGTTTGCCACGCAATTGGAGGCTTCCGTCGGGAGGTAGTATATTCAATTACATGGTGTGATTGCGAGGGTTGTAGTATGATGAAAGTAGGATGTAGAATCTACCAGAACTGATGACAAGCATCATTCTCCTATTCCGTAGCAAGACTGATTGCTGGCACCGCAATCAACTGCACTCACCTAGATCCAGCCTACACTCGACCTACTTCGTATGTATATTGATGTATCGTGCTCATTAGATTAGATCTGGGTGTCGTCGGTGACGGTCTCGTTCAACTCCTTGATGAGCTCGTCGGTCTTGGCGTCGTCGTAGACCTTGAAGCCGCCCTCCTTCGTCACAGACGCCAATTGAGCGTTCTTGCAGTCCAACTTCTCCTCCATCACCTGTTTCAAGATCTTGAGCGTCAAGAGCTCGGCCTCCTTGAGCGTCAACGACTTGTGGTACTCGTTCTGCAACTCCGTCTGAGCGCCCTCCGAGCCCGAGCCAATGGCCTTGGCGTCGTAGCGGTAGAAAGTACCAGAGGGTTCTGCGTGGTATAACTGAGGCCCGTTTTCGTCAATTCCAGCGATCAAAAGCGCCACGCCGAACGGTCTCGACATCAAACGCTTTTCACCCGAAGCACCTTCGCCAAAACGCAACGCCAAGTCGCAAACTGACTGCGTCAAGCTCTCCACTTGCATGTCCTCGTCGTAGTACAAGTTATGGCTCAAGGACGCCACTCTAGCATGGTCAATCATCAGCCTGGCGTCGGCAGTCAAACCCGACATGGCACAGCCGATGTGGGCGTCGATTTCGACGATTTTCTCGATGGAAGAGCTCTCCAAAAGCGGCGAAGTGACTCTCTTTTCCACCCCCAAAATAACACCCTCCGAAGTCAGCACGCCAATCGCCGTGGACCCTAGTTTGATGGCTTCAAGCGAATACTCCACCTGGAAAAGGCGGCCTTCCGGCGAAAAAGTCGACACGCCTCTGTCGTATTCGGATCTGGTGAGGAACATGGCGTTGTAGATGTAGTTTTGATAGTGGCAACGTACCGCGACATTCAGGTTGCGAAACGACACAGGATGGAGGGATGTGGAGGGGTGGGAGATCTGGGGTTGGTGGGTTATTTGGTTTTTTTGGAGGTGGGGTTTGTTTTGCTTTGGTGGTGGGATTTGGCATTTTTGGTTATTTTGGTGATTTGGGGTGTTTGTGTGGAAATTGGTGGACATGTTTGGTGGTTAAGCCTGAGGTGAGGTATACTATGAGAGGGAGAATGGCAGTGGAGGTTGATGAAGGTTGGTTGATGCTGTTTTTGGGTTTTGGAGTTGGAGAGAAATTGTATTATGGGGAATGCAAGGAATTGGATGAAAGAAATATAGAGTGGAATTAATTGGCAGCTAGTAAAAAATGGATTACCCGAAGATTCAATATGTGCTCGTAGTTATCGACAAAGTATCAGAAGAATGTTCTGAATGTTTCTTGAACGACAATTGAGCCAATTGAGCTGATTGACCGTGAAAAGGAGAGAGTCCATTACAACTGTTAGCATTAGACAGGTTTCGTCGAAATTCGGGTTGTCTGTATATCTGAGAAGCCATTTACTACTCACTCATTCTACCTCTAAGTGAAGCTCATTTAATGAACGAGCCGTGATTACTAGCATTGGATTCAATCAATTGAGTTTTGGTGATCTGGAAGTTTTAATCAATAAAATCAATTGAGTCAATTGGCGATAAACTCCAAAAGAGGCTTACAGTCGCTCTACACCTACCCACTCTCTTCTAATGTGTATTTGTAGCTAATGAAGTCTAGCTTAAGCCTTTGGGGCCAAAGAGACAATCTTCTCGGCGGCTGGGTCCAAGTCCTCGAATGGGTACAACTTGAGACCAGAGTTGTTGATCAACTCCTTAGCCTTCTGCATGTTGGTACCCTGCAATCTGACGACAACTGGGATGTCCAACTGGAAGTTCTTGGTAGCGGCAATCAAACCCTCGGCAACGTAGTCACATCTCACGATACCACCAAAGATGTTCACGAAAATACCGTTCACCTTCTTGTCAGACAAGATCAACTCGAAAGCCTTCTCAATGGTCTGAGGAGTAGCAGTACCACCACAGTCCAAGAAGTTGGCTGGCTCACCACCGTACAACTTGATGATGTCCATGGTGGCCATGGCCAAACCGGCACCGTTGACAATGTTGGCAATGTTACCGTCCAACTTGATGAAGTTCAAGCCGTACTGGGAAGCCTCTCTCTCCTGGGCGTCCTCCTGGGTAGGGTCTCTCCAGGAGAAAACTTCCTTCTGTCTGAACTCAGCGTTGTCGTCAAAGCCCAACTTGGCGTCCATGGCCAAAACCTTGTGGTCTGGGGTCTCGGACAATGGGTTGATCTCAACCTGGGTACAGTCCTTCTCGGTGAAGACCTTGTACAAGTTCTTGACGGTCTCAGCGGCCTCTGGGATAGCCTCCTGAGAGTAGCCCAACTGAGAGGCAACGTCCTTGGCCAACTCGTCGGTGACACCCTTGTTCAAGTCAACGTGGAAGGTCTTGATGGCATCTGGGTCCTTGGCAGCAACACCCTCAATGTCCATACCACCCTGGGAGGAGGCCACAATCATGGGCAATTGGGTAGCTCTGTCCAACAAGATGGCCAAGTAGGCCTCGGTCTTGGCGTCTCTTCTCTCGACAATGTAGACAGCAGTAACCTCCTTACCGGCCTCACCGGTCTGCTTGGTGATCAACTTGTGGTTCAACATCTTCTCGGCCAAGTCCTTGGCCTCCTCTGGAGAAGAGATCAACTTGACACCGCCCTGGAAGCCGTTGTCAAAGTGACCCTTACCTCTACCACCGGTCAAAGCCTGGGCCTTGATCACCAACTCGTTGGTGCCCAACTTCTGGGCGGCGTCGAAGGCACCCTGTGGGGTGGTGGCGGCGTAACCCTTTGGCACACCAACACCGGAGGACTCCAAGATGGCAGCGGAGCGGAACTCGTGAAGAGAGAGGAATCTCTTTTGGATCTGGCGTTAGTATGTGTGGGGGCGGATGTAGCGTGAGGCAGGAGTCATTCCTAAAGAAGTCTCCTTTGAAGTCTCCTTTGAATGGAGGAGCTGTGATGGTGGTCGGAGATTGCCAGGAAGTCAACGGTCAAATCAACGGAAATCTCCATATTGCTTTCAATTGGATAGAGGCAGCCGATAGAGCGTTTCTCTTTGACACCGTGGCGCTTAAAGCGTCAAATCATAGTTGAAACTCCTGAATTGCCCGAAAGCCGTTGTGGTACCTCAATCAGTATCAACTGAACCACGGCAATTCAGTCTAAAATCTCCGGATTTGCTTCTCTTTAGCTTCTCTTTCACCAGCAGAACCGAAAAACCAACAACCGGCGGTGCCGCTAGGTCAATCGTTCAAAAACATGGTCAATCTTGTCAACCACCAATCATTGTAAAGGAGAGCCAGGAGGCCCGTTTCGCTCAATTTCCTCAAAAATCAATACATACTTTCGAAGCACGGAAAACTCTGGACAACATTGTGGAAATTTTCGGTGGAATCAAACTTGGAATAGAACTTCGGGAAAGAAGACTGCAAGCTTTGGTGAAGTGCTGATTGTTTTTTCGGTGGTTTTTTTCTCCTATAGTAGTGCTCCGCGAACTCGCTACTGCCCTCGGACACGTATCGTCCTTGCTTACGTAATCCTGCAGAGAGAAACCCCCAATTATCTGGACATCCAGACGTCGTAGCAAAAATCTAATTTGATATTCAGAGACCTCAAGCTTCAGGCTACAAGTTCGTGTTTTTCCTGGCTCAAAGGGGTCCATTTGCGGGGTTTTGGAGTGGGGATCCCCGGCCCAACTCGGAGCCCACGCACCGGCCTGGAGTTCGCGGAAAAACCCATGGCTCCATACCCCGGGCCGAGGTCAAGACTTGTTGAACAAAGTGAGGCTAAATGGGTGGGCTAGTTATTTTTTTCTGGAAATATGTCAATCTGTGTCTTTTGATGATTTAGTAAAAGTTTAAATTCACCGGAATTGTCGACTTCCTCGTGGATGTCTGAAGATTGCAGAGCTACTGTGGAGTTTGGCTGCGAAACCGTTACAGAGTCCGAAGCAGTCAACCCAGAAGTCAGTACGGGCAAGTTGGGCAAACAGAGTTTGGACGGGGTGTTGTTGGTGTAGGATGTTCTGACTCCGACGGGGTGGAAACGGGAGAAGTCAGAAAAGTTGACTGTGGGAAACGTGGGTCGGTGAGGGAGTTTAGTGTGAGACATCGGTGGTCCAGGGAGATAATGTTATTTTGGGGGTCATTTTGGGGGATTGTAGGAGTATGTGTGAGGATTTTACGGGTGATGACGTTCTTAGAGGGCTATTTTGTTTGAAAGTGGTTAGAGGATCTTGGTGGATTGTGATCCACACTTGGGAGGTGCATCGAAGAGGACCAAGAGATCGTCCATTTAAGGTCAATTGAGTGATTCCATTTTCTTGAAGTTTGTGGATATAGCTATTTCTACTAAAGGAGACATTTGTACCACAATATAGCAGCCTTTCCACAGTTGAAGCTGAGCACTTCAACAGAATACAATTGAGAGACAAGAGAATGTAAGACCAACTTTGCAGTCTACACTTAATAAGAAAGCTGTCTGTTAGACAAATTTAAAAGCAGTCCGCTGATAAGAAGATTTATACTTCACCACTGTGATACTCCCGTTCGATTACGAACCACTCCACTCAAGAAGTCCCACAAGTTCACCATTATCCCAAAACAAGACCTCAGGAGTATCGCCCGAAAACAAATAAAAAAAAAACAAAGGAACAAAGCGAATAACTTTTCAAAGGCATTATTTATGGTTTTCGATGTCTCAGGTAGTCAATTGGTACATCCAACTACGAGGCATTGATTCCTGAATTGAAGCCCCTAGAAGACGCCAAAGGAGACTTCAAATCACTTAAGTTTCGAATGACCAAATTCCAGGAAAACACTGCAACACAAGGTATTCACCCGAATCCATTCTTTTGCAGAATCGACGACTTCACACTACCAGGAGAACGAATTCTTGACCATCTTCACAATGATCCACCGTCAACCTCACAAAATCCAACCTAATTGCTCTTTTAATTCAAAAGAAAAAGAAAAGCAAATTGTATATTCGATCCAAAATATGTATTCTGTCTGACGGCCCTGGAGATGGCTGTTCCGGGTAACCCTGCCCTCACACATAATAAGCGCAGCGATGGGATTTTTTTTCACCAACTACACCTACAAGTATGTTTACACAAACAGTATGATGATGAGACCTTTCAACGAATTTCTTCAGCTGAAACACCATGTGGAATAACAACTACAGAGCTTTTTAACCCTGATTCATACACCTTTCACACTATTGGATTGTTACTAACATAACAGCATGGGAGACTTTGCCGACTGAACGTGCCTAATCTGGGTCCGCCATAACGAATCGATTTCTCTCCATTCTTCTTTTGTGCTTTTGATACTTTTGATTCTGCTGTGCTACTGGTAGCGCCCTTGGTGCTGCTTTTCTCTCTTCCTCCATTACTCCTCCAGATGACTGTTTATTCAATGAACACGTTGCCTTTTGACAACGTTGTCAAAACGCTGTGAACACCTCCCCCATCTCCACGCCGTGTTTCACGCTGTTTCACGCCTGCTGGGCCCTGTTTCACCCTGTCTCAGCAGGCGCTCAGCCACAGAGCCATGAAACAAACCCCAAACCCGTCCTCTCCTTCCAAACAATAATCACCCCCTCTGTCGCCATTCTTCCACCCCTCCATTCTTCGCCGTCAAACAATCGGGTTCTTCTTGGCTGCCTAAAATAGCCTCGCTTAATGCGCATCATCTCATCTTCAACAACTACTACTACCATGTTGGAGAATCTGGGTGCGGTGGCGGCAACCGTGGCAGTGCTACTCCCGGTGTTTGCTGTATTAGTACGTCTTCTCTACGTGCTTCCCGCTCTCCAGCATCCTTCCAACCCGTCGAAGAAGGCTCCTTTGGAAGGCCACGTTATGATCCTTCTAGGGTCTGGTGGCCACACTGGCGAGATGATACGGCTTCTACAGCCGTTGCGGTTGGAGAAGGTGAAGAAAACGTGGCTTGTGTCGTCGGGCGACTCGACTTCGTTGGAAAAGGCTAGAAAACTCGAGACTTCTGTGAACAGCCAGTCCAGCTACATCACCTTGAAAAGAGCCCGTAAGGTGGGCCAGCTGTGGCTGCTGTCGGTTGTGACGACGTTGTTTTCAATTGCATCGACTTTTGGTGCTCTTCTACGCCACGAGTCGTATCCTGACGTTTTGCTTATCAACGGTCCTGGAACATGTGTGCCTGTGGCGTATGTGCTCTTTTTGTTGAAGTTCGTCGGGCTCTGCCGCACGAGGATTGTTTACGTGGAGTCGTTGGCTCGTGTGAGTGGCTTGAGCTTGTCGGGGCGGTTGGTTTTGCCCGTGAGTGACCGTTTCTTGGTGCAATGGGAGTCACTAGCGAGCCAGTACAAGCGGGCCGAGTTCCATGGGATTTTAGTTTGATGGCGCAAGGGGGGAGTGATTGAATTTCGCCAAGGCGTGCTTCAATTGACGTTTTGGCTTGAACGGACTCTCCGTATTGGATGAAGGATTTACCGTATTGGATGGAGGCCTCACAGTATTGAAGGTCCAGGAAGAGCGAGGCAGCGGCATCTAGGCCGTGAAAATATGCTCATAATGGGGCCTTTGAAGCTGATGGCGTGGACTGCCAATCAAGTCCTTCAATGCTTCATCCGCTGGACAGTGGCTTGAAGGTTGTTGGACCTATGGCAGACTTCTCTTCTGGAACTGAGACAGCGAAACAAGGCCAACCAATTGCACTTCCATCCTATGCCAGAGGACTTTGGTATTGGTAGAATACACTGATTGCGCTAGAATGATGGCCCCAAGTGCTGACTGGTATCCGCCTTCATGTCAATCGCTTGGTGGCAAGACAGACACCCGCAAGGGCCAAAAAACGACCGATTAGGCTTCAAGCCAAATTTCCTCGATCTTATTGTCATAGGACTGCTCTGCACAGACTGTACGTTCGAGGTCCCGTCGTATCAGCCTAATTGGCACCCTCAACAATCTGACACCAACCCAAGGCTTAAGGCCCTGAGCCAAACCACATAATAACTAATCAGATAACAATCAACCAACAATACAATTTTTATTCATCACCAAATAGATCCCCCGTAGATTTACTTCAATCTTTCTCTTATCGACATGGTCCTACACACTAGGCGAGATGAGCATCGAGATCAACTACTCCATCTTCTAAGTACACCCCAGAAAACATGGTCAAGAGATTCAAACCACAGTACGATTCCGAGTCGGAAGACGAGATTGGCGATGTTATTCAAAACAGAAGAAACGAGGAAAGCGACGACGACTTTTCATCACTTTCCTTTGGAGCCCTCAGTTCAGCTCAAAAAAAGCTAAGGCAGCAGCAACAAGAGGAAGAGGAGGATGATGACAGCGAGGACCTGTCGAGTGACTCTGACAGCGAAGAAGAAACATCCCAAAAAGGAAAGAAGAAGCACCAGCACAAGAAGAAAAACAAGCATGCTCCTTCAGAAAGCTCCTCCAAAAAGCCAGTAAGCAGAATCAGAGAGATCCCTGGACTCAAGCTGAAAAAAGATACCACATTGTACACGGACGTTCGTTTTGATGCTGCCTACGGCAAGGCTAACTGGGACAGGGTCAGAAACGACTATGCCTTTTTGGACGATTATAGAAAGAACGAGATCAAGCAGATGCAGAGTATTCTCAACGACAAGAAAGAACGCTCAAAGCTTTCCCAGCGTGAGGTGGAGGACCTCAAGTTCAAGATCCAGTCGCTCCAGTCCAGGCTAGATACGTTGAAGAACAGAGACCTCGGCAACAAGATCATCAAGGACCACAAGAAGGACCAGATGGCCAAGATGCGCAAGGGCGAGCAGGTGAACCCCTATTTTTTGAAGAAATCCGAGCAGCGTAAGATGCTCCAGAAGGCCAAGTTTGACAACTTGAAGGCGTCGCAGCGGGAGAAGGTCATGGAGAGAAAGAGAAAGAGACGGTTGGGAAAGGAGTTCAAGGCCATGGAGTTCCGTTGATGGGCAAGTTGCTTTTGGGAGATGCGGTTTTGGTCATTTGAAGCAAATCTTTTGTTGCATGGCTTTGCATGCTACTGCAGTCTTTGGGGATAACCAGCGAATACGGCGCCATGTTTCAGGATGGAAACTTCAAACGTGTTTGAATTAGAGCCGAAGAAAGCTAGACTGTGGTTTATAACATACTCCTGGTGCTTTCGGGACTGCTAGGTAAGTCTGCGATACCAAGTCACAGGGCTGGTTTTTTTCTTTTTCACGAGATTATTTGCCGATCGTTTCCAAAGCTATAAAAAGGTCTCTGATCCCGAACAGGGCTCGTTGAGCTGCTTTTTCACAAAGGGCAATGATGGGGCTCCTACAAGCATTCACCGGACGAGGTGATACCGACAAAGAAGTAGAGCCTCCGAAGAAACTAGATACCGTCTTCAAGTTTTACAGGTACAAGAGAGACTTCAACCAATTCGTGGCGGATTTGACCAAGGTAATGGAGGAGAATGCCGTTTCATTTCGGGTAACTGGCAACAATATTGGGGAAAAGTTTCACCGGGTTTTCGAGCTTCAATTGTTGAGAAGCGACGAGGCTCATGACCCCGAGCTGAAGTCCATAATGGATGATGTGTTGTTAAGGAGAGGCGTTACTTCTTTCGGAGCGGGCCCTCATTTTGACGACAGAATGGTTGTTTTTTTAGTTCGTTACACAAAGTACATCCGTGAAGGGCATGAGATGCCTATTCCAACAATGGGGTCGTGCTTTTACGTGGATGGAGATGAGTTGAGATTGTTTCCTGGTCCGAAATTCCCAATGTCTCATCTGCTCAACGGGGTGGGTTCCGAAAGGGACTTGACTTCTGTGCACGAGATAACCAATGAAGCTTCTATCAAACTCAAAGTTGAGTTCAAGGAAGCATCCTGGTTTTACCAAGATGCGTTTCACCGTGTCGTGCTTCCTGGTATGCCAGTTTCAGATTTCTTATCACTATACCTTGAAGCATCCGGTGAAAGCGAGAAGGATGACAGGTTGATCGAGCCCTTTTTCGTTTCGGAAATCTGTCTCGAACTACAAGAGTTTCTAGCTGTACGCAAGGAAGGCCGTATTTATCGAGAAGTGCGCAGACTGGATTTACTAAGAACACTGCTCTTTGAATTTTTGCCGCTTTCGAGAGATTCTTTTTCGTTATCGCCCGATTGGTTCTCCTGCGAGTTGCCAAACATTGGCCCGACGTTTTTCACCAAAGACTTAACGAGAAGCTATGGCTTGAACGTATCTGTCAGAATCTCACACAAGAGTATCCCGAATTTCAACGTGTCTGTATTCATTGAGCTCAATGTTGCACAAGAACAGCTGGAGCGAGTGGATTCATCCACGGTCAAATATTTTGATGCGTTCCGTGGTCGTGGTTGCAAAACTAAAGCTATGAATTTGGAGGATACCCGAGGTTTGATGCCCTTTTTGATCCACTGCCAGCGTATGATGCACGATTGCAGATATAGTTTCGTCAATGACCTGCTTCAGTGTCTAAGAAACGGCTCACTTGGTTGCATACACTATGCCATTGCCGGATACATAGCAAACTTATACGTTGATGACTTCTTTCCATATAAGCCTTTTCCGCTCCGCTTTCCATGGCAAAGAAAAGAGCCCGAAAAGCCTGTGGTTTTGTTGAAAAAAATTCAAGGGTCTAACTCAAACAAACCTCATGTTGCGAAATGCCTTGTATTGGGCGATCGTATTGTTGGGGTTCTTTCAATCGCTTGGAATCTTCATCAGCCCAGAGCAAGAGTTGGGTATTGCGTCATTCTAAGGAGGCCCAGTAATCTACTCCATGTTCAAGCCATATCAGCCGACAATGACAGTTTCTGGCAGCCCAAATGGGGGACTGGAGGTGTCATTGGAGCTGGTGGGATGAGAGTTTCAGAGTTGATAAAGTTAACATTTACTTTTGCAAAAAGGTTCGATGAGGCTCGCGTGGACCGTGACATTGAAATCAAATTAAAGCATATCAATTTAACTTTTGTGCAGTGGCTGGAGTGTGCCGACCGGACAGAGACAGTTTTGCTTGATGAAGACCTACTGGCTTCTCTATGTTGGAGTGAGTTTAAGGAAAGTGTTCCCGGCAGTCTGAGTGCTTGTGCCGCCACTTTACCCGGAGATATTATCGGTGTCAAGATTCCACATGGCGTAAAGCGCTATAAAGTAGACCCCTACTATGTGAGATTTTGCTATCTAAAGGGTGAATTGCACTTTTCCATCTATGGTTCGTTGCATAGTTACAAGTGGGAAACCAGCGTCTATATGCTTGGAAGTCTGTGACCATAGGTTGTTGCCCTGGCAAACACACAACTTTTGAAGTGCATAATATGTCCTTGAGTGTTAGGTTATAAGCTTGTTTGTGTATACTTCCCTAAAGAGGCTCAACTTATGGCAAGGCTTGGTCCTTTTATAGCCCATGGGATAAGGTCTCATTTCAGGTGGCATACCTATGTTGGATTGAAACCTCCCAGGCGTTTCAGGTTGTTGATGAAAGATACTTGTTTCAGAGTATGTAATGGCTCAAACCAGGGGCCATGATCTAACATTGAGGTATTTGCGGTTCACACTATCACATTATTTTAGCCCTGCAGCTTTTCAACAATACATATAAACCGTAATTCAATGCGCCGTTCAAAAATTAATCTAGTTTGCACTTTTCTCTTAGGATTCGATAAGCTTGCAACCTGGTTAGGTTTGACTGGGATGTCCACTGAGGATGTACGGCATATAAACTGAAGTAGGGTTTCGCTTACAGAAACTTGCATGAAGAGAAAGCATCCGCTACCAAAAATGACAGGTGATGGCGACAAAAAGAGAAAAGAATCATTTTAATCCAAGGCAACAATGCAAAGTACTTGGCCGCTATTCGTACCTGGGTTATGAGTCCGTACAGGGCTCACATAATTCTTAGTAGTCAAATATTTTTTATGCAAGGGACTCGCAGCTTTTAAGAACATACATAATGGCGAATAAGGCTATTTTCAACTATGGAGCTTTCTTAACCTTATAGTGCTTTAAATACCTACAATGATGAACCAGATATTGATGATTAAGTCACTAAACCCATTCAATTGATGAATAGGCAAATGAAGCGCCCCACTGAAGGAGATCTCGCGTCAGACATGCATGACAATTAGAACGTCAGCCGCACGCGAGTTCACAGATAGCTATACATAAGAGGCACGTTCCGATCCGCTAGCGTGGGTCTAGAACCATTGAATGCATAGATTGACACCCCTAGTATGCTGGTGATTCCGGAGTATTCGGCTATAGACGGAGTGGTCGCGACTATAAAAGCTGCAAGAAGCGCCCACTTTTTGTTTTTGCCACATACCACTTTTTCTTCTCTAGTGAGTAACGTAACCCTCAACCTCTCAGCTGGTTTCTACCTTCAAGTAGTTGGCAGCAAATCTTATCAACACAATATCAGCAGCAGATCACCCTTACCTTTTGGAAATGAAAGACAGGGAACCAACCGAACCACTGGGAAAGGAGTCAACCAGGTCTCAAGCCAGTTCTGAACTGGCATCTGAGAATTCACCCTTAGATGACGCTCCATGGAAATCCCTCCAGCGCACTGGCCCTTCGGAAGAGAAGAGTGTTGAGGTGTCCGATTCCTCTGGTCCTCAAACCCCTGAGCAGCCTCACCCTTCTGACGCCGAAAATCCCTACTCTGAGCCTGTTCCAAGAGTTACAGATTTGGAAAGTTCCGGCAATGACTCCGGTGCTCAGACTGACAAGAGGGAGCTTGCAAATTACAGCTTGAGGAATACTTCTGACAATGACGCCTATCAAAAGTTCAGGAACAGGTGGATCATGCTCAGAACTTACACCCAACTCCTTTTGTTCTTTGTTATTTTGGGTGCATGTCTCGGATGCTATTTCAATGAGACCATTGCTCCTTTTAAAGGCGACTTCGAACTTGTGTGTTACAAGCAGCCCGAAGCCTGTAAAGGACCAGCACAAAGCATCTGGCACACGTTCGAGAAGGAAATTTGTTCGCCAGCTAATGAACAAGACTTCTGTGGTGAAGAGGTAGAAGAGATGTGGAAAAGGTACGAACACGCCGTATGGGGCAATCGTGATGAAAATCTCAAGAAGTTGCATATGCGTATGATCTGGAAAAGATACGAGCCTTCCACCACAATGTGGATTGCGCCTCAAGAATGGCCTGATACATTGCAAGAGCTATGGGATGAGCTTCAAATTGCAGATTGGCCGGCTAGAGTACACCAGACGTGCTACACAATTCAGCGGTTCAATTACCAACTAGGCCGCGAAGAAAGTTTGCAGGAGAAATGGGCGATAACTCAAAAGTTTCTCACAATCATAGCAACTGCTTTTGCCCTTGAACTTTGCTTGAATTTGCCGATGTTTTTCGATGCATGGACCTTAGCCGTTGGTAATTTGATATGTCTCTGCTTGTCCTTCATCGTATACCTTCTACCCCTCGAAACGCAATATCCAAAGTCCATAGCGGTTGCCGCAGCAGCTACTCATATCTTGGCCATTTCCTTAATTGGGCATGCACTCAATCTTTATGTCAGCGACTACGAGATTTGAAAGCTTTTGATAGAATTCCGTCAAGCACCGACATCCAAAGAATGATGGATCAATTCCGCAGTTTTGAGTTACAGACTTGATACTTATAGCTGAAGAGCCGGTCTTACAATCAAATGCAATAAGGAAGTAGGGTTGGAGCTCTTCCCGGATACAAGTGCGCGTTTGATCAATGTGTGGTCTGCATTGCCAAACGTAGTTCATCGGGTGGTTTAAAAGTATACAACTCAATATACCTCATTGTCATATAACATCTCGAAAAGAAAGGAAATCAAAGATAGAACGGGTCCTCAGGAAGAGCTGCTTTCTATTGGTGAGTGGCCTAATCAAGTACCCAACTGAGTACCCGAGAAACGCATTAGTATACTCGCATAATGGACCAAGCAAACTCCTATCAGTACGATTCTACTAAGCACTTCATGATTTTTACATTATTGGGATCCCATGTTGAAATTTTTATCCGTGGCTCAGCATCAATGTTAGAGATGCTTGAAAATGGAAGAGAATTCGATTCCATTCTGCCATCATTGGATGTTGGTGAACTCCTGAAATTCATCTACTCTATTTCAGCACAGGCTAGTGTCTTTTCCTTGCAAGCCAAAAGAAAATCTTACACTCTACTTTGACAACGTGCCAGGAGGAGGAACACCATCCACATCAAGTAAGTTATGCTCCTTAAGCGCAAGGGTCCATGTGAGGCTGCAACAGACCATTGTTACATCCTCCTCCACTACCACCGACTCCACAAACTTCCAAACCAAACCACATCTACAGAGCCACTCGTCAACGTCTGAATCGATTAGTGAATTAGTATATACAAACACCGGAGACTACTTTCTCTGGTTCTCGTGGGCCACCCAGTCTTCCCAGGAGCCGACGTAGTTGGCACGCTTGTTGTATCCAAAGGAGTGAGCCAATTCTTCGGCAGCGGTGGATCTGACGCCACCCAAACAGTAGAAGACAAGCTCCAGGTCCTTGGAGGGCTTCTCAAAGCCAAAGGCGTCCTCAAAGTCTTCTTCAGACAAGTCCAAGGCGCCAGGCGACGACTTGAATGGGACGTTCCGGGCACCAGGAATGTGGCCTTCTTGGAACTCAACAGGTTCTCTAACATCGAGAATGACGGTCTCGGGCTTCGCCTCGTCGACAATTCTCTTCATGTCATCGTACTTGAACAACTTGGCAGGCTGCAGCGAGAGAACGCTGTAGAAACGGTGGGGCTGGAAAAACCCAATCTTCTGGGGTTGCCACGCTGCCTTGAAGGAGGCAGAAACAGGCTTGATCGGAGCCGAGGCAAGGCCGGATATGCTTCTGGAAACGGCAAGTCTCCGGGCCATGTGCGCCGCGTCACGTGCGAGAATTCGGTGTGCCATGGCGATTTTGCGTGTCTAGAGCAGGTGCTTGTCTGGCAGAAACAGGGTGTTGCTTGAAGGGCTGCTTTTACTTTGGAGCTTTTGATTTGCCTGCGACTTTTGAGTGCACGCAGAGCGCACTTTGTCGTGAGGCAGACGCCTGTGTGCAGGACACCGTTACAGCACCACCATGGCATGGGCATCAGACAATGGGGTGGATTCAACTGATTTTTGGAAAATGCTTTGGAGAGCTTGTGGGAATTGGGGCCGGTGATACCGTGGTGTACGGGTTTCGGTTTAGCCCCCCGCTACGGTGCAGGTTCAGCAACCGGGCCGGCGCCTAAATGATCGGAGAGATTAGCAACAGAGATAAGCCAGTGGTGGGGTGTTAGGGAGGTTTTTCGGGGTGGCGTCTTTGAAGATTTGAGAAAAGTTTGTGAATTGGTTCTGGGCGGATTGTGAGGTGTGTGGTTTGGTCCAAAAGCAGGCTCAAGCACCACGAGGCTTTGTGACTCACGAGGCCGAACGGATCTGAGGAGACGCCGAAATCGGAAATCGTGAAAGGCAGCGAAATGGTAAGATAATGGTGTTTTTTGATGCGATGCGGACGGGGGTTGGATGGCCGATAAGGGGAGGATTCTTAATGGCTGCAAAACGGTTACTGCGGCGTTGCGGAGGTCTACAGGGGGTTTGATGAAACAGAGCCATTGGGAGGGAATTGAAGGAAAAAGAAGAAAAAATGGTATTGGAAGCCGATGGAAGGGGAGTTATTGGTATTACTAGGGGTGTATGGCGAGGTGGATCTCGAGTAATTGATTGGGTGCAAATGTTTCATGGTGAGGCATGGTAGGGGACAGGGTTGGGTTGGACCAGGGATGTGCTGAAATCTATGAGGACCGGTGGTAAATGCCAATTTTGATTATGGAGCCGCTTTTCAGAGGACCCCGGGTCTATATTCTTAGGACCATTAGTCTGTATCTTCAAGGCCCTCAGTCAATATCTTGAGGATTGTCTTCAGGACCCCAAGTCTGATTCACAACGACCAACACCCACTATTTGTTTTATTTTTAAACCCATCTTATAACGCTTGCAGCATTCTGAGGACGTCCTTAGCCAAGTTATACTGGCAAACTGACGTCCACCAAAGATCTAGAGCATTTGGGTGCAAAACTCATCTAGACTACAATGTCCACAATCATTCAAACCGACTCGTTCATGAGACTATCAAGAGGTGCTTCAGCCAGGAATCTACATCACCTTCGAGGTTTATAACTACCTCAAAACCTCCTCCATGAAAACCCCTCTATGGAAAACCTCCTCTGTGGCTCCTCCACCTCACCTACAATACCCATGCTCATTATCTAACGTGTTCTATACTCATTTAAAAGACTTCGTCAAGGAAACCACAGGCTCCAAGCCCTCGCCCTCCTTCTCATACTCCAAGTCGTTCCATTCGTCCTCCTTGTCGTTGTAATGCTTAAAGAGGAACCAGAAGACCCAGCCGGCAATAAAGCACGAAACGGCCAAACCGGTATAAGTCCAGACCATCTTGGGGTCCTTGGACACAGGCGAAAGAGCGATACCAAGAGCAGAACCAAAGGCATTCTGCAAAAGGAAAAGCGACATGATGAACGACTTCATCGTCACGGGAGCCTTAGTATAAGCGTACTCCAAACCGGTAATGGAGGCCAAAATTTCAGACATACCAATCAAGAAATAAGCGGGGGTCTGGAGCGCAACGTGGATTCTGTTAGGAGTGTCAGCGTACTCAGGAGAACACGACATGGGGAACTCGTAACAGGGACCAGCAGCATAGATGAAATGCTGCAAAACGGCAGCGTAAACCATAGAAGCAGCGCCAAACATGAAACCCCAGAAAATCTTGGTGATGGCTCTGAAGGGTGTGAATCTTCTGATGAACGGATACACGATACTCTCACACACGGGGATGAAAATGATGATGGTGATGGAGTCAATGGCCTGGAGAATATCGTTGGGGAGACCGTGGAGCTCCATTTGACCGGCAGACGAAACGAAGTTGTTCGTCATTTGGCCGTAAACCAACCAGTAAATCGGGTAGATGCAGAAGACCTTACAAGCGTACAAGGCTCTCTGGACCTCATCGACAAACTGGTCGTCCCAAGGGAACTCTCTTTCCGGATTGAGCGAAGGTCTGGCAGCGTCGTAGTTGAACTTTTTCAAGGCGATAAAAGTACACTTGAACGATCTGGCAATGACCTTGTCTCCCACCGGCACCTTGTGGTAGACGTTTTTACCCAAGAAAAGCGCCGCAAGGGCAATGACGAAGAAGCAAAGCGGCAAGAGGTAGGCTGCCCAGAAACCAACGTTTTTCTCCAATTCCGTCGTGGCAATGACAGAAAGCGAGCCCACATTGATCATAAGGTAGAAGAACATAAAGACGTTCTGGATGGTGAGGTTGGGGTCCTCGATGACCTTTTCGCCCGATTTCAACGTTTTCACCGATGGCTTCGTTTTGGGGATCTGGTCGGCGATCAAGGGCGAAACGTTCGATTTCACACCACCAGTGCCGAGACCGATAATGATAACGGCAGTGACAAAACCGCCAAGCGAGGTGCTTTCACCAGCAATGGACGGAATCGACGTGACGAACAAAATCAAAATACCAACCATGTACACCACGCAGAAAATACAGATGGTGTTGTACTTTCCCAAGTACGTATCGGCGACCCAGGCACCAAAAATCGGGGTGACATAGCACCAAAACTGCCAGAAGTACGACAAGGCCGTGGCACCGTTCTGGTTCAAGTTCAACACGCCTCGAGGCTTGGGATATTGCATGTAATTCTGGAACGGCGTCGACAAGCCGTAGTACGAAAACCGTTCTGCCAATTCCACCACAGCAACAAGCCAACAGGCCAAGGGGATTCTTCTGGCGACCCTTCTGAGCGACTTCATCTCGTCCTCCGTGGGCTCGGTGCCTTCCAAAGACGACATGTCCCGCTCGGAAACATACTCGCCGACGGCGCCTTCTTCAGCAATGGCGACTTTCTCATCGATTTTGGCAGCCATTTTGACAGGTTTCTGACGGATTCAAGGCCAAGAAAAAAAAACGAGGCGAAAGAGCGTTAAAAAAGCATCGGCGGCTGCGGGAGTGGGGGCGGCGCAACACAGGCAGATAAGCGGGAGTGCGGAGCGGCAGTTTCTGGGGCGATTTTGCGGGAATCCCAGATAAGGGCGTTTTCTGTCACAGACGAGTGGCACCGTTTTGACAGGGTCTGCGTGCAGGAACAAGAGACCTTTTCGCTGTTTAGCGCTGCATGCGCTGCATGTGCTGCCGAATCGCCGTATGACCAAACGGCCTCTGACGTCAGATATCTGGGGAACACGGCTTTGGATTTTTTAGGGCGGACCTGGCTTAGTCGAAAAATGGCTTATCAGGGAGTTTTTGCAAAAAATCGCCTTATCTTTGGCAGAATTGTGTCACCTGACGGGCCTAGCCCGAAGCAATAGGAGATGTCGGTTCGATGCGGGTCGGAACAATTCCTTCACACGAGCACGGATTCTCGGACATTTCTCCGAGGTGCTTCCGAAGATTCCACAAGAAATTGTTTTCTGACTTATTGAAGCACGGCGAGATTGGATCTTGGTAAGATCCTTTTTTGGCGATTCAGC